GCTGAGTGCTTTTCCCTTTCACCTTGTTTTTTTTTTCATTCTTACTTATGCTTCTCCCATTTTGACCTTTACTCGTGACTGTCCCACGTGTGGATGTGGGGAAGGGAAGAGGTGCAGGTTGCAGCTTAGGCTGCCTCCATCCCCAAGCCACCTGCTACTCCTTTGCTGGGACATTTTGCATCCTGCAGAGCCTTTCTCCTCTTTAGAAACCTAGCTTTAATATCAAAGGCAGGAGACGAAACAGGGTCCATTTTGTGTTTTCTCTAAAGCTTGGTAATTTCAACGTTTCTGGGACTTGCAGAATTGGCATAAACACCACCCAGAACTTAGCCAAAATCTGGTATTGCTTCATTTACTTAACAGATAAATTATACTTTTAAGTAATTGCATTCATAGCATATTTTTTTAACAAAGTAGAAGTTCATTTAAGTGCTGCACTCCCCTGGATTGCTGGTGGGGTCGGGTACCACTGAAGATGAGCAGAAGCTTCACAGGTTTGGGCATCAGTAATGAACTACATCCCTGTTTTCAGCTTTCATCATTTTAAATTTTCTTCAAAGTGGCAAATTGAGTAGTTTAAATTTGTATTCGGACTGTGATGTGCCATATACTTGCTTTCCTATTGTATTTTGATATTTTTCTGTGTTAAAATCTTAATCCTTTATGTGAGCAGTCTTTTTTTTTTTTCTTTTTAATTGCCTGAATTGGGTTTGAATTGGGTTTGAACAGAAGTGCTAATATGAGTTTGTCACACTAGTCATTTTTTTTTCCTTAATTCAGAAGAAAAATAGTTGTCCAAATGCTGATTTAGCTACTGAGGAATAACATTACTAAAAATGTGTTCTGCTGCTTGGGATTAGGCAAAGTTGCTTTTAATTTTGTCTAGAGATATTTGTCCAACAGACATATTATTCTTCAAATGCTAAACTTACTATCTGAAATAGATATAGCTTTGCCCCATTTTTGCCTTCACCTAATTGAGTTTGGATTTGACAGAGATTAGTGTGTTCTTCAGCCACCTTTTTCATGGTTTTAGTCATTTGATTTAAATGAACACTTTAAAAAATTGACTGTGGCCCATGGTTGATTGAGTTTTATAGGCTCTATAGACGGATTTCCGTAGCTCAGTACATTGTATCTGTTTATTTCTTCATGGCTCAATTCTCATTTTGTATTTGGTATATTGTTGCTAAAATTAGTCTCCTGTTGTTGTGTTTAGGAATTATGAATAGTTTATGTATTCCCTATACTTAACTTGTTTCTAGTGCATTTGAAAATTAGTCAAGTTTCCAGAGTTTGTGAAGAAAATGGTGATATTTTGTTATTGGAGTTATTTCTCAGGAACATAATTTGATCAGATAAAGTCTGATTTTGGTACTGAATAAAACTGATGTGGATATTTGATTTGATGTGTTTGGGGATGAAAAATGGGAGAGATTTTATTATAATTTCTCAAATCATAAACAGCAATTTACCCACGCTTAAACACAAACTCCTCTAAAGGCAATGCAATGCTTTGGAATATATAGAGCAGTTGATTTACTTCTGCCTTTATTTATTTACTTATTTGTAGATAAGCTCCAAGCCCTTAGGCAGATGCACTGATATTGGGAGATGTGTTAGGAAACTTTTTCAGTAAATGCAGCACATCTGAGACAAGGCTTCATTTAAAATTTTATGGAATAGAGTTAATCACAAATCCTGCCTTCAGAGAAGTCCAAATCTTTAGCGTGTTCAGTTTGAGGCCTACATGAAAGGAGTGAAAATGTTTTTTAATTTCTTGTGATGTCTCTAGTAACATGATGAAGAAAAGGTGAACCATGAATCTATTTTTAGTATTAAAAAAAAAAAGTCAAAAAATGATCTACCAAGTGATGTGCTGCTGACGTATGTAGTACAGACAGCCCAATTAAGATGCTGTATATTGTTTCCAGTAGGATTCTGATTGTTTCTAATTTGGGAACCATGTGAGAGCAAGTGGAAATAGGTGAAATGACGCACTTGGCTATTCATAGTGGATCTTGTATTGAGTTGTTTTCTGTAATTTTGCTTCTCGCGTATCTCAGTGTTTTATCCCGAGACAGGTGAAACACTTTGGTGTTCTCTCTTCCCTCTGCTTCTCAGCAAGGCTGCTAACCTAGTTTAACCTTGCCCAAGTAATTTCTCTTGTGGTTGATGTGGAGTTCCTAGCAGAGAAAAATGATTTACTGCTATAGATAAGGTAACAAGACAGTGAAAATATACATATATATATATATATTCAAGATGTATTTTTTTCTTGTTGTATGCATATTGCATAATTCAGTATTCAGTACTGTGGATTGTGTTCCATTTCCTACACCCAGTATATTAGAGCATCCTTTGCTGTGTCCAGCAGCATGTGTCCTTGCGTTATCCGTGTTCTTGCTTTCATTCTGTTAAATTTTGAGCATGAATTTTAAGTGACTCCCATATCACAGCCCTGCCCTTTCCTGAGGCCGTTGTGTATTGCCACACTTTTGTTCCTCTCTGTAGCTAGTTTCTGCATACCGAATGCTTAGAGAAGTGTTGTATGATTATTGTCACCCCAATACCATAAATACATTTTGAAATTCAGTTGGATGGAAGGCATCTTATCAACCAGTTTCAAAAACTGACACAGATGCTTCCACTCTCCAAATTAAATTTCCTCCTCTGCTAATCTTTTTAAAAATACGGAATAGAAAAAAAATACATATTTGACATCTGGAAATGAGAGCCCTTCATGCTTAGTTTGTTATTCCTTTATCCAGCAAAGTCGTTGACTTAATCCATCCTCTTGTCTGTCACTGGTTTTCTTAGTTTTTGGTCTTCTAAGTTGGAATAATCTTGAAGTGCCTTTCCTTTTTTTTTTTTTTTTTTTTCCCCTGCCTGTAATTACTGGAAGGTACATTGAACACATTCTCCACTTCCTGATTACAAATGAAGCCTAGAACTGGGCCTCTAATAGAACTGACTTGCATCAGTTGTAATTAGCCCGCTCCTTTTTGTGTTTACTTTTTATTTCTCAGGTTTCAAGAGGTAAATGAGGACTGTGAAGAAAAAACCCGGTGCTTTTGTGAGAACGGAGTCAGTTAGAGCTAAGCTTAGATTGCTGCCGTGTGGACCTGGAAACCAGGTTATTTGCTTGCTTACCACTATCTCCCAGCTCACCAGTCTGATTCTGATTTATTTACATATTTATTTTAATTTCAACAGTTCTGGAAAACCCCCCAGCTTTCGCTTTACCTATATTGTAGACTGGGTAACGGGTTCCTGGAGCTTCTGCTTCATGCATCCTTTGACTTAAACTGTTCACAGCTATGCTGAGCGTTTGTGAATGAATGTAGAGGAAAATCAATACGTGTAAAAGCCAGAGCAGGCAAGGGAAAAAGGGCTCTTTCCAATTCCTTTTTTTTTTTTCCTGGTCACACCATTACTTGAGTTTAATTTTTCTCTCTGTGAACTTTCCCTGTTTAAATTTAGAAATGGCCTGATTTGGAACAAGTCACTTTTAAGATACTTTCCAGATTTGTGTGTAATTTAATCCCACTCTGTGTCAATGGTCTGCTGGTCTGATTTGCGTCTAGATAATTTTGCAAGACTACGGGTTGTTGATGCCCATATTGTTCTCCCAATAGTTTCTAGATTTTTTTTTCTTCAGTCAAAACTGCAGCAGTATTTGTGGGGCCTTTTAATACCTTTTCTAATGCTTGTTTCTATCCATTGGCAAGGTAGTAATTTTAGAACTGTTATTTTGTTCAGACAACCTGACTCTAAACTGTGACTTGAATTTCTGTGCTAGAGTTCAGTAGTGCTTGTTAAATGCTCTTGAAATTGAATACTTATAGTTGAAATATTACTATGAGCAATGTGTTTCCATTTTTGGTGTATTTTCTCTCATATTTAGTATTCATTTTCACCACAATTTTCTAGTTCACGGCACCTTTTCACATACAGATTATCAATGAGGAAGGTTGCAAATGAAAGAAAAAAGCCTTCTCAGAACATGACAAGTGTGATATATATTTCAGCCACTTAAATTTAAAACAGGATAGGAAAGAATTAAGATTTTACATACTTCCATCTAGTGTGCATGAGAGAAATTGCATCTGCTGTTAAAATCCCAGCCTGTTTAGCAAAAATCCCATCATCTATTAGTCTTTGTTAATCACTTATTGTTGAAGACTTGTGTAGCATCCCAGGGCTGACAGATCTAAGTCTAAGCATTTATGTCTTGGTAGCTTTGTGGTGTCTATAAAATGGTGATGTGCTGAGAATAAGAAAAATCACCTTTCATTGTGCAGGGTTTATATTCTACTTGAGTATGTTCTGCTCTATTTTCTTGTCATTCCGTGCTAGAATTTGAGCTACTTGATTTATGAATTATTGCTATTGAAGTAAAATTAAAGTGACTGTTCAGTTACTTAAGAGCCAATTAAATTTGATTTTATTCTGATGTAGCATTTCCAGAGAAAGTGCATAAAACATAGTCTGTGGATGAAAGTTAGATCTAAAAATGTTTTGCGTTTAATTTTTTCATAATCCATGCTTTACACTACTTGACTTGCCAAATAAAATTCCATTACAGTCTCACAGCAGTGAGGTTAGATGTTAAAATTTACAATGACTGAAAATAAAACATTGTAATGTTCTCAGTGATCTTGTATGAACCCTTAGACATGACTGCTTCTTGGAGAATGTATTAGACATGAATAAAGGAATTTCTCTCATTTGCAAGTCTTTTTGAACACGCAGTTTATTTACTAACCTTTGTTAACTTTCAAAGAGAGAAGCAAGGGTTCTTCTGGGAATAACGTTTTCCAAATTGTGGGCTGTCTCGTCTTAAAGGATCAGCATTTCCAGCAGTCGGGTTTCCAGCTGCTGTAATTACTGCGAGGTCCCCACTTAGCAGAGACATTCGGGACGAGACACTTGGAGGAACCGCTGCCCTGGAAGCGGGAGCAGCTCGCACAGGAATATTTATTGTCCAGCATCGGAGAGCCGAGTTCATTCCTAATGATCCGGTGGGGCATGGACACACTGAAATGCTAATGATATCAGAAAATACCCTCTGCAGCCCTACAGTCCTCTATTGTGCTACTGCTAAATACAGCAAATGAAGACTGAATAGGTACTTTTCATCATGTGTGACAATTAAAATATCTCTCTTGACTGTGACATTCCTTATTAAGGGAAATTACAATGCCAATCTCAGTTCTATTTTGACAATTTAACAGTGTATCTATTGTCTCCTGTGGGTTGGGGGGCTTTGGTAGTTGAGGCTCTTTCAACTACCTTTATTTTTTATTAAAAGTAAATCAGGCACAGATGCAGATATATTTTTATTTCTGCTAACTAGACAAGCTCTCCCTAGTCAGCTCTCAGATTTGCAGTGTCTGTTTCTGTCAAGATCACATAGATGTGGAGAAAATGACTTATTTTACTTTCAAAGGCTTAGATAAAACTCTAACTGCTTTTGCATAGATGGCACAGAAAAGATAATATATAGAGCAGATATTTGTATAAAGCGCCATATATTTGCATCAGAATCTGAATCTTCAATATAGCCAGAATACCGAGATTTATACCACTATTAAAGAAGCCTGTTTTTTCTTTCAGCGGGTAGAATTAATTGTGAAGTGTAGAGCAAACTTGTCCTTCAACCATCCAAATGTGTCAAAATGAACATTAATCAGGTGCAGCTTCCCATTGTTTCTCATTTGTGGCGCAGTGATGAATGCCCAGGACTAGTATTTGATGGTCAGGGTTCTTTCACTGTCTCTGTTGCTGCTTTTCTCAGCAAGATGGAATTGCAGGAGGAAAAGGGCCCCGATTTCCATTCTCCAGACCCGTGCTTGGAGGTGCACGAGGCTCCGTGTGCTCCGCTCTGCCCGTGGCTGCTCCGTGCATCCTTTTTGTGGCACTCTGCAGCTATCCGGTGGCTCAGAGGTCTATTATCTGAGTAACCCTGAAGAATGCTTCGAGATTTTGGATGAAAAATGTTACAGGTTGGTGCAGTGCAACGGTGTGAGACCCCTCGGCTTTTGGAAGGGGTTTACAAACGCTACCAGCATTTGTGGCTCCCTTACTCCCTTATCAAATGGTTTTATAAGATGCTTTAATGGTGCGTGTTAGAGGGAATTCTGCTGGTTGCGTTAATGCTAAATAAATATTTACTAAACAACATGTATTTAAGATTTTTTTAAAAAAATACTCATTAGTCCTTCAGACTTGTTTGGTGAAGGGAGCCTGTCTCAATGGGAGGCCACCATTTTAATGCTTCCCAGCAAGAGGCCTATTTTGATAATGCAAATAGGTTGGAAAAAGTAGGCTAAGCCATTAAAAAGTGGGAGAGATCATGCAATTTTAAAATTTTAAGATGACAGTTTTTCTAATTATTAACATTTTTGTTACTGTAGCTTAAGCGTGTCACCTTATTTACCTGAATTCTGAAAACCTCAATGTCATTTGCCTTCGCATACCCTGCTCTAGTCCATTCGCTATCTTATCACTGTAAGGTGCTTGGAACTATTTCCATGTGTTGTTGTATAATTAGCAATGCAGATCCAGACTCTTTTATTACACAGTGGTTAATTTTTTTCTATTCTGTTAGCATTAATAGTGACTGAAGGTCAAACTTCTCTTATGTAAACTCAGAATATTTGCAGGATGCTTATTGGCAAGGTGATTAATTCCGGCAGTCGGAAAGGGCCGTCCATGCAAATGAACGGAGATCAGAGCCGGTACTCTGAAGACTGGATCACGAGTGGGAAGACGCCGGGATTTGCACCAGGATGAGCTGTTTAGGAGCTCCACCTCTTCTGCCAGTTTCTGGCTGGGAGAAGCCCTTCCCAAAGCCGCTGGAAAGACTGGATCACGAGTGGGAAGACGCCAGGATTTGCACCAGGATGAGAGCTCCACCTCTTCTACCAGTTTCTGGCTGGGAGCAGCCCTTCCCAAAGCCGCTGGCGAGGGGTTCTGCCATTCCATGTTCTTTTTCTCCAGACTCTCTTGAAGCTGAGCACGAGGAGACTCCTGCATCCATCGCCGAGCATCCATCCCGCGCTGTCCTACCGCAGCCTTCGGCTTGATGAACAAGCCCAAAGGGCAAAGTCACTAAATCCGTCGTATCGCGACCATCCGTCCTCGTCACGACCATCCGTCCCCGTTGCGCTGCTGTGACGAGGCCTCTCTTTATCCACTGGGATCCTGAAACCCGTTGCAGGGTGGCTCGGAATACAGCCCGTGGAAATACCCACCATTTTCTCCCTTGCATCCCACTCCTCCGGGCACTGATAAGGCTGGCAATATAACAGCCTCAGTGCCTGCTGGTTCGCCAATTTCATTTAATCCTATTAATTTTTAATAGAAAATTAGTATTAAACTTGCATCCTTCCACATGACTTTACCTCCGTGTAGAATGACTCCTGGTTTGTGTTTGCTTTGGAGCAAAAGGGGAGACGCTGTATCCAACAGGACCTGGTTTGCCAGCTGAAATGGAGCAGGATTTGGACCTAGGGAGAAATGTCTTTTTAACGGTAGGACTGTCACCCTCAGCACAGTAGTAATGCCCAATCTGCTTTAATGATGACAAATTCTGCTCGGATTTGACATGTATATCTGTAAAAGCTGTGCTTTGCAATCAGCATGTGCCACGCTGGTTGTAGAAACTTCTGGAGAACTGGATTTCCAGCTAAATACATAAAACAAGTGTGTACTGTATATCAGTTAGCTTAGGGTGGACCCAAACGATGTCTACTGGGAAATGCCAGGAGTCGAGCATCAATTTTATAAAGACTTTAGCAAATATTAAAGTGATTCAGCGGTTTATATTAGTGAAAAAGCATATTTTAAAATACCGTTTTAATGAGAAGCTGCTAATGCAGGGGTGTGCTCAGGAGTTTATCACCACTCCAGCTTTGCTGCAGTTCATGTTTTGCAGCCTCAAAATGGTGAACTTGAACCAGGAGGATCTGCTCTGGGAGCTGATGGTATCTTCCCCGTTGAGATAGGTTCTGGGAAAGGAGCTGCATTCCTTAGCTCTTGCAAGCATTTTTAATTGTTTTTCTTTTCTTTCTCACAACCTCAATCTGATATTATCTTGTAAGTAATCGTTGCGTCATATTTGCTTTCTTCTCTCTACTGGGAAGTCAGCTAATTGCTTTTACTTTTTAATGGGTAGTGTTTGGGAAGCCTGTTAGCTCTGCAATGTAGATGAGCAGCACGGCAGCTCTTCCTCGCTCTTCAGCCTTTTCCCGGGTTTTGAGAGGCAGTTAGTAGGAGAAAGCAGCACAGATGGTTGGCACTTACACTTGGATTGGGTAGTAGCCACAAAGTTACGCAGTATTTCTGACTTTCTCATAACACAAAAGCTCCCAGTTCTGGTGCGCCTTGTATAGAGATGTATCTATGGGAATATTCAGCCAGACTTGCCTTATGAAGTAGTATTATGTGTTATTAATTATTCATGGTCAGTTTAATTCTTCTTTCTTGCATATTTAATTGTAGTAGCGTGCTGTTTGTCACAGTGATTTCCCAGAAGAACCGTGCACAAAAGGAAGATCGTTCAGGTATAGCGTCTTAAATATGGCCATGCTAATCTGCGTTGTTTAACTCGGGAGCAGAACAGGATATTATCGGATGTGTCTAGTGGGAAAACAATTATGCAAAATCATTATTTCACCTAATCTTTTCAGCTAATTCTTCAAGCTGAAATAGTTTGATTTTAGCTGGTGACGTTGACATTCTACCTTGCTTATTTTAAGAGCAAAAATGCCTAATAGGAGGGAGGATGTGACATGTATTTTCTTCTCTGACTGACAAAACCTTTATCAAAGACTGCAGAGGCACAAATCAATCTCTTTTGGAAGTTGGAAGAAAGAAATAAGATTTTTATTGATTTTTTTTTTCTTCCAGTGATCAGAATAGCAGTGGCAATGGTTGTGTGATTAAGATTTTTTTCTTTTTTTTTTTGAAGACTGGGGTAGTCTCTTAGTTCTCTCCATGTAAGAAAATATTGGAGACCCAGGAACTCCAAATGCATTTGCAATTTCATTTGTATTATCATAGTTGTAGAGCTGTTTGAAGCTTGTAAGGCGCTTGATGAAACGGAATCCCTCGTGTTTAGAGAGCAGGATTGTTCTCCGGGATTTACTGTAGGAGTCTAAACTTCTGAAAAATCTGTTTACAATGTGTCTGAAACAGAGGATAGAGGACACAGTAGAGACCGTTATCTGTTTACTGCTCAGATAAGGAGGAGGAATAGATTGCTGGCCTGTTTCTGAACTCTGCTTAATGAATGGTTGCTAGGCAAATTGCATCTCAATCAGTTTAATCCTCAAGATGTCATTTACAGGTCTGCTCTTTGTGAGGGCCACAACTGTGCGCGTTCGAACTGTACAGGCCAGAAATTGCCAGCAAAGCAGCTTAGAATAGCTGTGCAAAAATGCAGCGTGCATGTGCTGCTGAGTGGCCCACTTTGAAGCTCCGGTTGTCACCGGGCCATCATTTCGTGGGCATGGACTAGTTTAGATATTCAATGATAGATAGGAGACAGCAGCATCATTAGCACCTCTTCTGGATCAGCATGGCATATATCCTAACTCTTTGGCGTTTGATTAGCGTGAAAGAAACATTTCTAAATGGGGACCGCACTGCTGCCTTGTTGAAAGGTATTTATTTTTGTCTGATTTGGCTCGGAGTCCAGTGTGATTTTGGGGGGTGTACGTGCAGGGGTGTATGTATGATTAACTTCAACAGTTGAACGCGAGAGATGGCATTACCCGACACAGCACAGAACACGAGGACTCACCCCATCCACAAACCAAACGGTCTGGGAGAGAGTATGGGATTGGTGATAAAGTGCCTCTAAACTTCAGTCTCGTGGACTTTCTCCCTCAGAACCAACAGAGAACCAATTAATTGCACATGTTGGTATGTACTACCTAAATATATAGTGCTCACGATACGCTACAAAGGAGGAAGTTTCCTAACATGGTTAAGCTTTAATGGTCTTTGGAAAGAGAGATAACAGCATACTTGTTTTTATTGGTTTCTTGCAACAGGGATTAATCTCCCTGCAGTAAAAACGTTGTTCTTTGCATGACTTCACCTTCCTTTAGTTTGAGATACACCATCCTTCAGCCATCTGCAGCAGGACACTAAACACTGAATGCCAACTGGAAAAGGCTGGAAGTGCTGCATTGCTAAAGACATATTAGAGCTGTTTGTGGTTGCTGTGTATTGATACGAAATGTGGTTTGTGTGGCACAGTTATTAACAGTGCATATGAATATGCAGTATGTGAACTTTGCAGAGCTTGCATAGTTCGGATGTATGCTGCTTTTGTATTATTCAAAAATACTATTACAATTTTAGTAAAAGATCGTATTAAAATATGGCCTTTTTTCATAAAGCTTATGCAGAATATTCCAACTTAGTCACCAGCCAAATGGCAGTGGTGCTTACATCTTTGCACTGCAGATAGGGAGAGGACTGCTGAACAGAAGACGACTTTGTGATCAGAGAGTGCTTTTCATGCAAATGAAGATTTTATTACACGCTGCTGAATCAGGGGCTTGTGTAGAGAGTACAGCACAGAAGTGATACGATCACTTTGTCATAGCTTGAAATTTTGCCCAGAGTGTCTTTCAGATCACTGTAACAGGCAAGAAACATTTTTGTTAAGGGCACTGCAGTAACTGATACAATATTTGCGGGCACGATTTGTTCTTTGTGATGTTTTTGGTCTGCAGGATCTGCCACATGTCAACAGCCTATTGCAAAGGATCAAGGACCTGGAATGTGCAAGAGACCTTGTGGGGTAGCAGCATCCTAAAACCCCCTGTTGCTGATGAGATCCTGCTTCTGCCCCTGCCTGAGTCGATACAGAATCTCCTCTTTCTTGCAAGCTGGGAGCTGTTAGCACTGGTTGTCTCTCCTTGCAGCTGGGATAGCCTGATACTGAGTCATCCAGGGGCTCTGTACACTCTCTTCCTGTCACACGGCTGTGTTTTCCTGCAAAGAAAACCCTTACAGAGTTGGCTCCACCGCTTTTCTTCTTATCTTTATTAGTTGATATTG